TATATTTTAAAAAAAAAAGCCTCTTACAAGGTAGATTTGGGGTTTCTGAGCATATTCAGTAAAATGCAGTGTAATTGTTCTTTTTCAGAAGCCTTCAGCTCCTGCATCTGCAAAAATGGAGGAGGAAGCAGTCCCTCGTGCCACAGCTTGCACTGTGCAGTCTTCAGCTCTGTCAGCTGTGTCTTCAGTGAGTAGTCTTAGCTGGAGCTAAAGCAAAACTCAGTGCTCATTTGTGCAATGGTACAGCATGCTGTCAAGGTGCTTATTTCAGTATTGAATATTCTCCCTCCATAGAGGTAAGCCACAAAGGCTGAGTGCTTTCCAAAAAGATCAAGTCAAGAACAAACTGAATGGGGAAGGTCAATGACCTTCTTAATAGAGAAGGTCAAACTGACAGCTCTTGTGGTCTACTCTAGCTCTTAACGCTCTAAAAGGGATGCTGTTTGTGAACTTCATAGATACTGCAGGAAAAGAAAATTCTGCAAAAAAGCCATAATTGTCCTACTGAATATTTTTGAAGATTGCATTAATGGCTGACATTCTTGCATCTCTTGTCAGAATATATATGCTTCTATTTAAAAACAAACCAAACAAACAAACCCTTTGTGGAACAATTTAGCTATGAGTATATCTTTGGAAAAGAGAAACCTGTTTACAGAGCAGCCCCTATCACAGTTTCCTTATGCTTTGAACTCAGCAGATCCCAAGTACATGAAGACAATTAGGGAGAGAAGCATTATAGTTTTTTTGTTCACTTACTAATTTTTACCTTAAGTAATGTGCGGCTGGTGGTGGTAGTATATGAACAGGTTTCTTCAGCTGCAGCTGAATTCCAGACTAAGAATTGTTTTCACTGTATCAATACCCTTACAGGTTGGCCATGTGGCAGATGAAGCACTGGAAGCCTTGTCCAGTAGCCTAGGAAAGAGGGAGCCTGATCCAGATGAAAAGAAACCTGCTGTGGACAAAGTTAAGGTAGAGCCACAATCACACCTCAAAAAATAGACTGTTGATGTCATTATCTTCAGTGTAACTGTATTTCCTAGAAACAATTCAGAGCTAACATTTTCACTTTTTTGAAAAACAAAATTTACTTGTGAAACCAGTTGTGTTCTACTCAGAAGTACTAGTAGGATTTCAACACAGTGAGTACCTTCTCTTAATCATTTTGCCTATTACAGTATAGTAGTTCCCTCGCCTCTGAAAACTGCATTTGCTTAGTGTCTTACTGCTGAACAAAAGCTGAATTAACATGCACATCAAAGGTAGCATACAGTATGGTCCTTTTTCAAAAGGAACCAAATTTATGATGAGTTGTTTAAATTAGGAATGATATATAAAACTTTGGGTTTTGTCAGTGATGGTGTTATTCTAATAGGGAGCCTTAAGTAAGTTGCGGAATTATGTGTATTCTGTCTAAGGAAATGCTGTTCATAGTCACAGTCTGAATGCCCCTATTTGCGACCCCAAACCATGGGCCAGATGATTTTGACTGGAGCCAAAAATAAAAGAGGACAGGTCTTCTGGTGTGCTGGAACTCTGTCAAATGAAACTCCCCAATGTTGGCTTTACTACCTTTTCGTAATTGTCATCTTCAAACATAACTGTATGGAGGGTAGTCCTTTTGAAGTTGGCTACTTGTTTCTCTGTTGAGCCTTCCTTTGCATGCAGCCCAGATAGCTGTTGAGTGGAATTCAAAAAAAGTCAAGAGTTAAGACTCACAGGTACAATGCTATTTTGTTATTGGTCCACGCTTGTCACTTTACTTAACTGTTATCATAGAATCATAGAATCATAGAATGGTTAGGGTTGGAAGGGACCTCAAAGATCATCTAGTTCCAACCCCCCTGCCATGGGCAGGGAAACCCTCCACTGCACCAGGTTGCCCAAAGCCTCATCCAACCTGGCCTTGAACACTTCCAGGGATGGGGCATCCACAACTTCTCTGGGCAACTTGTTCCAGTACCTCACCATCCTCAATGTAAAGAATTTCTTTCTTGTATCTAACCTAAATCTGCCCTCTTTCAGTTTAAATCCATTGCCCCTTGTCCTATCACTCCATACCCTTGTAAAAAGTCCCTCTCCAGCTTTCCTGTAGGCCCCCTTTAGATACTGGAATGCTGCTATAAGATCACCCCGGAGCCTTCTCTTCTCCAGGCTGAACAGCCCCAACTCTCTCTGCCTGTCTTCATAGCAGAGGTGCTCCAGCCCTCGGATCATCTTCGTGGCCCTCCTCTGGACTCGTTCCAGTAGCTCTATGTCCTTCTTGTGTTGGGGACTCCAGAGCTGAACACAGTATTCCAGGTGGAGTCTCACGAGAGCAGAGTAGAGGGGCAGAATCACCTCCCTCGACCTGCTGGCCACGCTGCTTTTGATACAGCCCAGGATACGGTTGGCTTTCTGGGCTGCCAGCGCACATTGCTGGCTCATGTTGAGCTTCTCATCCACCAGCACTCCCAAGTCCTTTTCCTCAGGGCCGCTCTCAATCCATTCTCCACCAGCCTGGACTTGTGCTTGGGATTGCCCCGACCCACGTGCAGGACTTTGCACTTGGCCTTGTTGAACTTCATGAGGTTCTCACAGGCCCACCTCTCCAGCCTGTCGAGGTCCCTCTGGATGGCATCCCTTCCCTCCAGCGTGTCCACAACACCACACAACTTGGTGTCATCTGCAAACTTGCTGAGGGTGCACTCAATCCCACTGTCCATGTCTCCAACAAAGATGTTAAATAGCACTGGTCCCAGTACCATCCGCTGAGGAACACCACTCGTCACTGGCCTCCACGTGAACATTGAACCGTTGACCACAACTCTTTGAGAGCGACCATCCAGCCAATTCCTTATCCACCGAGTGGTCCATCCATCAAAACCACGTCTTTCCAGTTTAGAGATAAGGATGTGGTATGGGACAGTATCAAATGCTTTGGATAAGTCCAGGTAGACAATGTCAGTTGCTCTTCTCCTATCCATCAATGCTGTAACCTCATCATAGAAGGCCACCAAATTAGTCAGGCAGGATTTGCCCTTAGTGAAGCCATGTTGGCTGTCACCAGTCACCTCCTTGTTTTCTATGTGCCTTAGCATAGTCACCAGGAGGATCTGCTCCATGATCTTGCCAGGCACAGAGGTGAGATTGGCTGGCCTGTTGTTCCCTGGGTCTTCTTTTTTCTCCTTTTTAAAGATGGGGGCTATGTTTTCCTTTTTCCAGTCATTGGGATCTTCACCAGATTGCCACGACTTCTGAAATATGATGGAGAGTGCTTACCAACTTCATCTGCCAGTTCCCTCAGGACCCGCGGATGCACCTCATCAGGTCTCATGGACTTGTCCACCTACAGGTTCTTTAGATGGTCTCGAACCTGATCTTCTCCTACCGTGGGTGGTTCTTCATTCTCCCAGTCCCTGCCTTTGCCTTCTGTGACTTGAGCCATGCCGCTAGAGGTCTTGCCAGTGAAGACTGAGGCAAAGAAGTCATTGAGAACCTCAGCCTTCTCCATATCCTGGGTGGCCAGGTCCCCCGTTTCCTTCCAGAGAGGGCCTACATTTTCCCTAGATTTCTTTTTATCACTGACATATCTATAGAAGCCTTTCTTGTTGCCCTTGATGTCCCTCATGTCCCATCCCTTGATGGCCAGATTTAACTCTATCAGGGCTTTGGCTTTCCTAACCTGATCTCTGGTTACTCAATTTCTCTGTATTCTTCCCAGACTACTTGGCTTTCCTAACCTGATCTCTGGTTACTCAATTTCTCTGTATTCTTCCCAGACTACTTGTCCTTGCTTCCACCCCCTATACGCTTTCTTTATGTGCCCGAGTTGGTCCAGGAGCTCGTTATTCATCCGTGCAGGCCTCCTGGTGTTCCTACCTGACTTTCTCTTTGTTGAGATGCACTGCTCCTGAGCTTGGAGGAGGGGATCCTTGAATATTAACCAGCTTTCTTGGGCCCCTCTTCCCTCCAGGGCCTCATCCCATTGTACTCTAGCGAGGAGATCCTTGAAGAGGCCAAAGTCTGCTTTCCTGAAATCCAGGGTAGTAAGCCTGCTATGTACCCTCCTTGCTTCTCTAAGTATCTTGAATTCTACCATTTCATGATCGCTGCAGCCAAGGCTCTCCTTGAGCGTCACGTTCCCCACCAGCCCTTCACTGTTATTGAGAACAAGGTCCAGCAAAGCACCTCTCCTTGTTGGTTCCTCTACCACTTGGAGAAGGAAGTTATCATCCATGCATTCCAGGAACCTCCTGGGTTGCCTGTGCCTTGCTGTGTTGTCCTTCCAACAGATATTGGGGTGGTTGAAGTCCCCCATGAGGACCAGGGCTCGTGAACGTGAGGCAGCTCCCTCCTATCTGTCTGTAGAGGGCCTCATCCACCCAGTCCTCCTGGTCAGGTGGTCTGTAGCAGACCCCTACTACTACGTCCCTTGTCCCTGCTCTGCCTTTAATCCTAACCTGTAAGCTCTCAGTCGGGACCTCATCCGTCCCCAGGTGCAGCTCCATGCACTCTAGCTGGTCCTTGACATAGAGGGCAACTCCTCCTCCTCTTCTTCCCTGCCTATCCTTCCTAAAGAGCCTTTACCCTTCTATTCTGACACTCCAGTCATAGGAATCATCCCACCACGTCTCCGTGATGCCAATAAGATCATATCCCAACAGGTGCGCACACACTTCTAACTCCTCTTGCTTATTCCCCATGCTGTGCGCATTGGCATAAAGGCATTTAAGTTGGGCCCCAGATGAATCTGTCTTCCTGGCTGGAGCAGCTGGAATTCCTTTCTTCTGTTCTACAGGTACTTCCAGCATATCTTTATCATTCTTGATATTCCCCCCCTCCCCCTTCAAATCTAGTTTAAAGCTCTGTCAATGAGCCCTGCTAGCTTTTGCGCTAAGTCCCTGGTTCCCCTCTGAGAAAGGCAAGTCCCATCGGGTGCCTTCAGACCTGGTTCAGTGAAAGCCTCCCCATGATCAAAGAAACCAAATTTCCACCGGTGACACCAGCCTCTGAGCCATCTGTTAATCAAGTCTGTTTTTCTGTTCCTTTCTATATTCTTTCCTGCCACTAAAGGGATTGAAGAAAACGCTACCTGGGCTCCTGACCCTTCAACCAATCACCCCAATGCCCTGAAGTCCCTTTTGATGGCCTTTGGACTTCTCTCTGTTACCTCATCAGTACCGACCTGCATTACCAGTAATGGATAATAATCAGAGGGCCGTACCAGACCAGGGAGTTTCCTAGTGGCGTCCCTGACCCGGGCCCCAGGGTTGATCTTCATTGAAATAGATAGAGCTATTTCTGATATACACAGGATGAAACAGGCAGAGAAATGAAGGCTTTCTCAAGAGAAGAGACTTTATTTTCATTTGCATGAGATTTTTATCTGGTAGTTGGATTGAAAGACTAATTTGAATTAGCAGACTGAAGACTTAGAAAGCTTGCTTATACGCGTTTCTATCAGAATGCAGTTATTTGGTTTCATTAATATTATTTTTACTTTGTCTTCGTAGGAGAAAACCAAACAGGAAGAACGCAAAAAACTGGGTGAAGATGAAGAAACAATTCCTCCAGACTACAGATTAACAGAAGCAAAAGTAATTTATTTAATGTGCTGGTTTAGTCTTAGCTTCCTTGAATTTCTCAGAATATAGGGGTGAAACTGAAACTCCATTTCATTTTGAAATGTTGATGTTTAGTTCAGCCATTTTCATAGTATATAAAAATTCCAGTTTGTAGTTCTTGAATATCTAACGTCTATCATTAGATGCTTGCATAGGCACAGGAGTGATTTAGTTGCAAGTACCTGCACATGAATAATTTTGGCTGAGGTTAGTGCACTGAAGTCTTTCATTAGCTTTTTGTATTTTAGAATCTAGTGAATTGTTATTGGTCAAAGCTGTTAAAAAAAACCCAGCACTTCAAGGTGGTATTTTTACAAACATCACCACACAAGTCATTTGACATAAATGGGTTGCTTGCTTATAGCCAAGACTTGCACAACACCTGGCACAGCTGCCGCTGTGAAAAGACACGGCCTTTCTGGACTGTTGTTACCCATCTGGAAGCTGGGATTTTATTTATTAATTGTGCGATTTCCATGGAAGTTGAAACACAAAATAGCGAAGCTCAGAATGGCACACACTGAACCACTTTTCAACACGCAGATGTTTCTAAGTGACAGGACCTGGATTTTTTAAATGCCTTAGATGCTAGAGGTTACTAGTTCGATCATTTTCTTGTGTAATACTAGCTGTCGTTCAGTGAATGCTGTCAGAGAACTTTCATTGCATGGTCATTTAAAAACTGCTTGGCTTAATATAAGGGGCTTTTTCTTTTGTAGGATAAAGATGGAAAACCACTCCTACCAAAACCAGAAGAAAAGCCCCAGGTAAAAAAGTAAATATTTAGAAAAATGTTCCATTCATGAATTACTTACCGAAATGTCAGTAAGGTTTCTCAGTCTTCACTTTAAAAATGGAGATAGACTGTGTTAGCTGCTCACTTTTTTAATAGATGAAAAGGCTTAAAAGCCTCTTTGTTTTCTTTCTAATGATAGCCTATGAGTGAAAATGATCTTATAGAGGGTTTGACAGAAGGATTTTCAGGCTCTTCTTCTGCATCGCCATCTGCACCATTACCTATGCCAACTGTAATAAAGGTGAGTACCTTTAATTTCTGAAAATCTGTTTTATTTTCAAATTGTTTCAGTAATCTTGGTATTTCATTTGTTTCCCTTGAAGTTTATGGAAACTTTCTTAAACAAAGTTCAATAAGTAAAAATTGGAAATATTTTTTGCAATAAATTAATAAGAGAGCAGGACTTTAATAATAAGAAAGAAACTTGGCAAGTTAGTTGTCGTATCTTTTTACCGGTTGCTTGAATAAGTAATGCTTTGCAGTTGAGAATTTTAAAAGCGTTACTTGAGAATACAGATGGGCTTGGCGGAACCTTAGCTCCTCCGAAGTCACATTAAGCCTGCCTCTGACTTAAGCTGTGCCGAGGTTTAAGCCAGTAATTGAGATGGAAGATTGAACGTGAACAGAGATGCAAAACAGTTGCACAGTGCTTCTCAGCACGAGGTTTCCGTCTGAAATGAGTAGAGCTTCTAAGAAAAATAAAGTCCTAGAAGTAAACTGTATGAGCATTGCATTTCAGGTGTGTGGAATTCGATGCATAATTTTATAATTTTAGTCCTCTGTCTTAGTAATGATGCCGTGCCTTGTTTCAGAAAACGACGAAGGGTGAAAAGCCTGCAGATTCCTCAGACGTTATCTCTGCTGCTACGGTTTCTTCAGTGCACTCAGCAGCTCTTCCAGCTTCTCCCTCAGTAAGCAGCCTCTTCTGTAGATCTTATCTCAAAGTAGGAACTGATTGATGAAGAGAGAGACAAGCATGATCTGACCAGTTTTACCAATATAGACTGCTGTGAAGTTAAATAATTTATTGCTAATACTGGCTGTTGTGGGGAAAGAAAATGTTCCCTCTGGGGAAAAAAAAAAAAAAAAGTGTGCGTTTCTGGGCCCTTCGTGTTCAACTGACTGGAAAAACTGGTGCTCCACTCCCTGTCATGTTTCAGCCTGCCTTTGAGACCTGCGCTTGGAAAAGGGAGTGCCCAGTCCTGTGCTGATTCCTCCAGACTTACTGAGGACATCAGAGGATGTGTGCATTCCCTTTCCATGGGTCAGTGTGGGTAGTTACCTGTGTGCAGATGGTTCCAGTCTTAGGCTTGGCCCTTCAGCTGAACCACACCTGTCTTTTCCTGTTTAGGTAACAAGAACGTTTAAAATAATAATAGTGTAGTCATTACCGTAGTGGCAAAGTCATCTGTTAAGCTTATAAAAGGAGGAGTTCAAGGCTGATGGAGGGTTAGGCAGCACCATCACCTCCTTTTAATAGCAGGAGACTTCCCCTGGTTGCATGAGTGGCAGTGTTGGATACCTCCTTCTCTCTGTTTTGGTACCTGCAGTGGGAGCTCCCTCTGGTGTTTCCAGCCTCCTTTGAAAGGGGAATATAAAGCTTCTCCCATCTGCGTTTTAGTTGGTTTCAAGGGCTTTTTATCTAACCAGTGTTCGAATAAAACTGGTGTGAATTAGCAAAAGACCATACATATTGTGAAGAGAAAATGTTAATAAATTCTAATTAGATCGACACTTCTTTAGCAGTTAATCTGCAGCAATAATGATGTTTGCAAAATGAACAGCAATTGCTGGAAACCAATGTTTTTATAGAGCTGCTCTCGTTAGATCTGTTAGGCTTATGTGTAACAAAAAAAGTGCCATTAAAATAAATTCCATAACCCCTTCCTGAAATTATATTTTTTATAGGCATAAATGTTTTGCATTTTTTTCCCCAGCTATTGCACTGCTTTGTAGTTAGAGAGGGAGGGTTGAATTGTTCATTGTTCACTGAAGTTGTCAGTTCATTAGTCAGTACTTCTGTTAGCTTGATGAATTAAATTATTTTTACAGCTGCTTTGCGTTGACAAATGTGTTTATACTTTGTTAGGGAGGAAAAGAGATGGATGAAGCCTTGGATCTCCTGTCTGATTCTCTGGGACAGAGGGAACCTGACCCTGATGAGAACAAACCAGTCGTGGATAAAGTAAAGGTAACAAAAGACATTCTGAAACTTGTGTAGTCCAGGGAGAAAAAAAAAAACACACCAAAACTGAGTGAGTTACCTTACTCAGAGATTTTTTTTAAATGGTATACTGCAGTACTTCTTATATACTCGTAGAAGTACATGGCATGTGATTAGGAGAAAGGTTACTAGAAAAAAAACAGCATACTCTTATGTTGTCCTACATGTAGGCCTATCAGTCACTGATTGTAACTGTAATCAGCTGGATTACTTGTGCTTTTCGTGAAAAATATTGAATTTGTTAATATATGCTAGCCATTTGAAGGTAAGTGTTGAAATATTACAGGAAATTTGCAATACTTTGATTTCAGTACCTTTTATTGTGATTATTCTGATTATTTTTCAGGTATCTTCTCTGACCTCTGCTTCTAAAATTAATTTTGTGGCCTTCCTTTTCTTAAACTTTGACTTTTATAACTCCACAAGTACCAAGTTCATCAACAGGCGTGTTCATTTAATCAGTCCCATTTTTTACTGGCTTATTTCTACTTGGTTTTCCCTCATTGAGCTTTCTTCATATAATTGTATAAAGGCTTTTCTGCTAATAAGAAAATCAGATGCATTTCTGCATCATAATAATAGTAATAGTAAATTGTAAACTGAAATAATTAATGTAAAGGACATTACTTGGAGGGAGGAGCGGGGAAACACCAGAAGCTGCCCATGAATAAATTTAGACTGGAATCCAGGAGGAGATGCCTAAGGAACAGGTTTATACAGTCTGGGTAGCATTGTCCATTGCCATAGCAAGGGAGTGAATGCCTGATGCGCGAGATCTTACCAAGACCTGTGCTTCCGTGTAGCTGCAGGAGCCCAGCTTTCTTTGTATGCATTTCTTTACAACGGCATGGCGAATGTTTATACTGGATTAACAAAAATAATAAAAAGAGTTCCTTAAAACGTCTGCAGTAACAAACGCAAAAATATTATTCAACAATATGCTTAGAAACCTACTTTTATCTAAAGCTGGTGTTCTGTTTGGCATATTTCTGATATGTTTGCCAGAAGTCAAAGCAGCATAAATTGAAAAATAAATGTAGTGGAAGGAATGCTTCCCGCCTTGATGCGTTTTTTAGGAGCTTGTGGTGTGCTGCCTTCTAGTGGTGCTGGGTTTGAAACTGACTCTGGCTCCTGAGTCTGGTGAGAAGTGTAGGCCACTCGTGACCAGTCTGAGTGTTAGGTGGGTAGGTGCCTGCGTTTTGTTAAAGGTACTCAGATGCATTCACAGCTAAGACGTTGCAAGAAGTCAGTTTTGTGTTAAAGCTACAGTGGATGGATGAGATTTAATACGGAAGTATGGAACGACTTCTTTGGTCATATTGTTGAAAAGCAGAACTGAAAGTTGACATAATTTTCTTTTTTTATGTTGGGATGCTGCTGTGTCTATATATGTTTAACTTATTAAATGTTTACACTTACTGAGAGCTAGTAATTTTAAAACTTTCAGGCATGAAACACAGTTAATAGTGAAATAAATCTATGTTTTTTTTCCCGGTAGTTTTAAAATTTTAAATTCAAAAAAGGCATCTGTCCTAAATGTAATGAGCACTCTGACTTACTATTTGCTAAGATTTCTGACATAGGTATTAAAGTTGTTAAAAAATTAATAAATGCTTTCAGGAAAAGGCTAAATCTGAACACAGAGACAAACTTGGAGAAAGAGATGATACTGTCCCACCTGACTATCGAAAACTTCTGGAGTCAGGCGAGCAGGTAAGGAAAAGCTTTGTTAGTTTTTATTTGCGGTCTTATTGCAACACCCGAAATCTGTGCATATGAGCAGTCTGTCCTCTTTGGAATTACAGGAAAAACAGGGGAGCTGAACAAGTGACTAAGTGTGTGTACTATATTTATGTATTAGAGTTAAACATCCCATACTGAGAGTAGCTCTGTATATCCTTGCATGGATTTCATTTAAAAAAAAAAAAAGGGTTTTTTTCTTCTGGTTTTTTTTTTTTTTTTTAATAGAGCAATCTGAACAAATAAATCACTTTGAACCACCCAGTAGCAATCAATGCCCTGGAGATACGTGCAAACTATGAGTTTGCAAGTATGAGTTTGCAAACTATGCCTGTTTATTCCATGTAGTTTTGTTCCAAGTTTCAGGACAAAGTGTATGTACAAGTATTACCTTGGTGGTCTACCTAAAGCCCTGTGAAACTGCCATTCACTGGAGCAGGTGACTGCTCTGACAGTGATTTGATCTTTTCTGGATCAGGAAGCTGTTCTTCCAGTAGACTACAAGGATAGAAAGATGGTATCACAGATGTAGTCAAAGTAACAGAGCATGGAAATACACTGTGAACTGACTTTGAATACTAGCATGAGGAATAAAGAAATCAGTTCAGAATGGTTCAACTCTCTTGGTAATCTGTAAACTGCCAATGTCATACGTAAGTACTTGTATCTTTAAGCTAATTGGATCAGTTCAAAATGAGGATGTAATCTTTGTTCTTCCCAAGGGTAAACCAGTAAAGCCAACAGCAAAGGATGATGTGAAACACAAAGAACAAAAGGTAACATTTATGATATTTTTGTCCTGCATGTGTTCCATGCTGTATGCTCTAATGTTTTTTTCGAAGTCGTGTCGTTGTAGGCTCAAGGTGTGATACACCGCGAATTCCAAAAACAGTAAAACTTTTGTGAAAAATAACTCTTCACAATACAGTTTTTATGCACAAGTACACTGGGAATGTTCAGGTCCAGTATTCAAAGAATTGGTGTATCTTGGAAACTTCAAATAGACATCTCTGTTCTAACGTGTGTAGAGCTCAGCTATGGGTTTTTTTTTAAGAAAGTGATAATTAAAGCAGATACAAATTCCTGAAACATTAATTTGACTGTGGGAAATTATGCATATTGTGCGACTTGAGAATTAAAATTATTGCAGAAGCCTGCAGATGACTCTGGAGCTATCGATGCCCTATCAGGTGACTTTGATACTTGTGCAAAGGCTCCTGTCACTCCACTGCACTTAAAGGTAGGACATTTTCTGCTAATAATGTGCAAAGTAAATGTTTTTTTCACTACTCAGTGAAAGTTCCTCACTTTTCTTTGCAATAGCTCAGTTTAGGTTTAGAGCCTCTTCAGAAGATGCTGTCCAGATGTAGTTATTGTCTTACTACTGTAGTGGAAGTTCGATGTGTCTTGCTATGTACTAAATGTTTGGAACAAGGAAGGTTTGTGATGTTTTCAGTCTTCTAGAGGTAAGACAGGCTTGGAGAATTGTATTGAGCAGAGAATTGTGACAACAGTTTTTGCACAGATTAGAGCATCCACAAAACATGGAGAGGCAGAGAAATCTTTCTGTAATGACTGCATGCGCTACCTGGCAGCAGTTGTGGGCTGGAACTGAGAAACAGCTCAAAAGTGCTTTGCAGAGAGAAATCTGAGGAGTCGGAAGGAGTGTTAGGTGTGTTAGGGAAAATAGTAGAACTGACAGGAAAGATGAAGAAGCAATGGACTGGAGAGGTCCTGTAATGAGAAATGGAGCGTTTATTTGTCAGTTGTCTTAAACACAGCTGATAAAGACCCGTCAGACTTTGCCCAGCAAACTGCTGCATGTGCGAGGCTGTATGAAATGAACTGGCAGTGGAAGCTGCATAAATCTGCATAAACCACATGACGATGGTGTTTGAGAAAGGATGGTTGTACTGGAAAAGAGTGAAAAGAAGGGGACTGAGATTTGGTCCGAATGTGAGGAGAATCCCTGTCAGACAAGTGTTCTGCTTCCTCTTATCCCACTGTTTGTTACCTTGCACTCGGACAGAGGCAGAGGTCTGGTATGGCTTCAAGATACCCACCGTGCCATTGCGGTCACCTTACGTGCTTCCTTGGCAGAGGAGCCCCAGGGCTCTGGAGCAGCTGGTGGGATATCGATGTGAAAATCGTGGACTCCTTTTCTTGTCTGAAAACACTTAAACTAGTTAAGAACTGGTAACTCCCTCTTGTTAGCTGTTTGCTCTCTTGTCCTATATGTGACGTGCTCTGTGCTATGCCCTGGTCGCTCACCTACAGGCAGAGGGAATGGTAAACATTTTTTTGAATGATGAATAGTTTTTGTACTCTGCTGGATAAAGCAGCTGCTGTTATCTCATCTGCTTCTGACTCCTGCCAGCCCATCCCTGCCTTTTTCCTGCAGTAGTGACCTGCCTGCTTCCTGCAAGGTGGAAGAGAAAAACAAAGCTTGGATTTACTAGGTCTTTGATCTTTGACCAAACCAGTACGTTAGCTGTCAAAAGTAAAGTCCCTTGGACAGACACAGCTGTGGAAGCACAACCAGTTCCCCAGTGAAATTGTGCATTAGCTTCCTTAAGGTTATGCTACAAGGCACCCAGTTACCAAGAGCGAATTCCAAGTTTGTCCATACTTCAAACGTTGGTTATGATTATCTGTGCTTTTGTGCTGAGTTTGTTCCTCCCTGGGGTTCAGAGAAGAAACAGCTTTGAAACTAAAGTTCAATTTCCAAATAGCTCTTCTGACCACTGCAGTGATTCCCCAAGCGCTTCCCTTGACATCGAATCCTCAGACGGCGTAAGACAAACTGTTGGTGTTCTAAGTACTGTTTTATTCGGATATGAACTTCGGAGCGAAGTCTTCTGCTGCAACGTGATTGCTTTCTAGTAAATACAAAATCTGGCCGTATATACCAGCTTTTTTATCTGTGTATGCTTCCTGGTGCTCTGGTCTCCCCAGTTTTAAACAAGGCTCTAGATTCCAGCTTGCGGTGGGCTCAGGGCAGTAGTGATACCCGTGCGTCCTGCACTGAGCATTCTCCCACCTTACGAACCACATTTTAAATGATGTGTTCTGGCAGACGTCAAAGTAGGAGCCATCGATTCTCTATTCTGTTTGTAACTGTAGGTTTTGTGTTTTTTTTGGAGTGTAGGACAAAAGTGGAAAGGAAGCCATCACCACTAAACGAACCCCAAAGGATAAAGGAAAACCCAAAGACCCTAAAACGGTAGAAACATACATGTTACAATATGGACAGTCATGGTTACTGTACACTATAAACATGAAAGATTGGCAACTGGATTTTGTATTCATATTATATGGGTATTACCCTGGGAAGAATTTTACATCAATGGGTTGAACTTGGTCCAGTTTTGTAAGCATGTAAATAAGAGAAAAACACCTATCTATTTCAAGGGAAGTTTTGAATCAATGCGGGCTAAAATATGTTTCTTGCAGAAGAGTGTGCTCTTCTACAGGAGGCTCAGTGCATGCTTCACAGGCTCCTCATTCCCACATTTGTTGATCTAAGAGTCATACTTCACATGCCTGTAGCTGCTTCGGTGTCTCCATCACTTCTCTCTTTTCTTAACAATTTTAAATAACAGCATTCTAAAAGTGACTAGAATGTACTCCTTCAACCACACATCCTTTTCTTAAGTTATTATCATATTTTTAAAAAATTAATGAAAACCTACGTATATTCATAAATAAGTATGCAGAATGGATTTTGTGGGAAAAGGAGGGCACTTTTTTATATCTTAAAAAAAGAAAGAAAGAAATTACTTGGCTTTTGTCATCCAGAAATACAGAGAATGGATTTAGGTAAGGGTAAAACTTTTCCCATCGTGTTGTTCTCTCACAGGATACGTGCAGGTAGATGCCTGAATCAGATGGTAACATCTGCTCTGGAAATTTTATATTTCACATTTCCAGTGCTGGGATTTTTCTTTTTATGAAATTGCCACACATGCCTTTTGTGTAACAGCAGAACTGGCTTACAACTTCCAGTGTAAAACTGGGGGAGTCTTCAGCTTGTTTTCAGAAGGGTGTGTTTTTTCATGTTCTGAGTTGTGACTGGATCACTAGCGTGGGTAAAAGGATCTTGAGAAATAGGATGTGGAGAGGTCAGCCTCAGCCCTCTTCATCTGAAAGAAAGTGAGTTGATGGTGGAAAAATGAAAATATATATACACAATAGAAGTTACAAGTACTGTTGCTAAACTTTCTGTATTTCAACTGCAGATCATATTTATGTATTACCTGTGAATTCCTGATGAGTATCTGTCACTGTTGTATTTCGGATTTTAGCTTAGTTGACAGCTTCTCACTGTCTCATGCTTCTCTTGCTCTTTAGGCAAAGGGACAGTCCTCCAGCAGCAAATCTGAGAAGCAGAAAACAAGCTAAACGTTAACGTTATTGGGTGAGATTTCTTCTTTATTCTCCAAACTACCACAAAGATACTCATGCTGCTGTTATTAAAGCTAAGATTTGTTGACAGTCTTTTAACTAAATCAGTACATGGTTAGACATACTGTTAGACAGAACACTTGGAATGACTTTGAACTTCAGTGTAGCAACTTGAAGGCAGAAGAGGCCTTACGGGGTTTTTTTCAGACACTTTGTCCACACAGTACAGAATTACTTCATGTAGCTAAATTCCTTCAGGTTCATGTAACTAAGTATTCCAAGGCATGACATAGAGCTTCCCTAGTAAGGCATTTTTACAGAGTAATGAAGACCAAGCACATCTCAACTGGTGTTTTTTACCTTCAGCACAGTGAGGTTATGTCATTATTTCGGCACCGGGGTAGTTTTGGAACAGTGTCCAGAACAGACGCAAAAATCCCCACAGTGGAGCTGGCAGGCGTAGCAGGTTTCAGTGTTCTGCGTTCAGCTTCCCTCGCACACATGCAGCCTCATTCTGTCCACATGTTACGCTGCCACCACATACTTCTCAGTACTTAGCTTGATCACACCCTTAATGAAAGAGTCAGTAATTGGAGTCTTTCATCATCACCATTCATTCATGGAAATATTCACGGAACTACGCTTGGACACTCAATACAAGCCCTTCAGGCTGGAGGGTTTCCAGAGGGGCAAAGGCACTGGCGTACCGGCCAGGATAGTCCCAAGTTGTGGCTTTCTGAAGAACCTGTTGAGGAGCCTGTCTCCTCTGACAGCAGAGGCAGCCCTGGCTCCTCTCAGAGTAGGAGTAATTACATGCAGCACAATCCCATGTGAAGATTTGGCAGTTACTTCAAACGGGCATCGTCAGTGTGTATCTGCAGTGGACTGCTGTCCTCACTGCAGCATCATTTTCAAACAATACCTCATCTCTTGTGATGTTAAGTCTTCCTGGATTTCTTTCTGTCAGTAGAGACTTGTTTCTGGTAATTCTTCCCAGATTTATTTTGTGAATTTTTTTTTTTCCAAGTTATAGAAAGTAATCACTCTGTTTTTCTTTTTCTCCCCCCCCACCACCCCCGCAGCATCTTGGCGCATCATGTAACACGTCTTCTTTCCGTTGGTGGATAATTATTCCTGAAGAACAAAAGCTGATGCAAAAAGCATGTGGTTGTTCTGGGTGGTTTTTGTACAGTGATACTTGCTGGACTTTTTTCGTATTTTCTTTTTTCCCAGTAGTAGACTAAGGTGTTGGTTTTTTTTTTCCCTATCCATTCATTTTATTATACTCCTATACTCTGACTTTTTTTCTAATTTTCTTCAGTTTTCAGAGGGAAAAAATGCTTTATATTTGCAAGAAATATATTTCATAAATGAATAGCAATGCCAAAAAAAATATGCAGATTTTTGCACATAATCTCCACATAGTGCCTGTAAATCTTAAAAGAATTTATATGTGCTAGCATTTTTATCATTGCAGTGACTGCATTAAGTATTCTGGAATATAATGAGCTTTAGTTATCCTCAGCCCACCTCAGCCTGGCTCTGCAGTCTTTCCTTAAGCCACTTCCTGGTAGGAAACCATAGGTAAGCTGTGGGTAGCTAAAGAATGAGAAACTGGGGATTAACCGCTTCACCAGGCGCATGTAGTAATAAAACAGGTGTTTTGAATGCTGCCTTAACTGTAGTTAAAACAAAAAAAAACACACCAGATAAGGATTTTAGTGGTTTTGGGTTTTTTGTTTGCTTTTTTTTTTTTCTGGTCGTATCTGTACTGTTCTCTCATAATTTCAGGAGTCTGCTGGACTGAACACATACAAATCCTGGTGTAAAAATGACACCGTTACCATAACAGAAAAGAAAATGAAGAAGGTACATGAGCCTTAGCAGAGATCAAAGAGAAGTTCAGGTCAACAAATGGACTTGGTTTTTTTTTCAAAATTTTGCACTGTTTCTAGTCCTTGCTTCTGTCCCTCGCACTCCCGAAGGGAATGCAGAAATAGGGCAGAAGTTAATGCTGCAAGGAACAATGTCATAGTCACCTGCTCTGCAAGAGTAGGCACCTCTCCTGAGTCTGCTGCAGACAGGGCTGTCGCAACTGAGGTGTGCCAAGTGCCTCTGTGTGTTTTCCTCTGTCTTCGTAACTTGCAGATCATCTTTTGCGTATCTTTTACACAGGCATTGCTTCACCGTTAGCTTGCAGAGGAGGGTCATACCAGCGTTTGTACCGATACCAAAGTCTGACTCTAGTATGTGCCATTGCAGAGACAGCCAGGAGATTTAAGTTGGGGATATTTAGACTTTTGACTGTACTTGGCAGTCTGTACTGAGAACCTGTGTCACACTAATAAAAGTTTTTAAGAATGCATTATGATGTTCGCAACTTTTCGTTTGTTACTGCTGTTGTCTGAATAGCTATTGTAAGACAAAAGAAACCCTAGAAATAAAAATTCCGAACATTGGCATATTGAAACTAAATATAATGTGTTTTAAAAAAACCTGCAAAATACTTGCCAGTGATGCTTCATGAAGGCACTCACAACCTGATCAAGATCCAGCTGCAGTTTTTTTCCCCCTTTCCTTTGGTTTTCAAAGCTGTATCACAGTTAACTAAGGCCATCTTTAACTTGTGGACTCCCATTGTGTA